AGACATCTCCGCGAATCCCTGAGGAGATCCCCGCTCCTGTTCTCTCTCCAAACACCATCCCTTCCACATGCTTTCTGCCTCGCTCAAGTTTTTCTAACTGAAACAGGCTGGCTTGAAATAAATCAGGCTGAAATGAAGCTTGGAGAGGCAAGCTCAGCCTGGGACACATCTCCGTGCCTGCAGGAGACAACCATACATCATTTAGGAATCTAAATTTACCATCCTTCACACACACAGAGTCAAATTTCTGTCTTTTATTACAATTTTATTCATTAGAGCAGTCTACATGTAAGTGCTTTTTAAAAACAAAAAAAACCAAAAACAAAACACAACCAAGTTTCTTCTAACTGTGCTGTTCTGACTCTAGTGTGTAGCTGCTCAAAAGAATGAGACTGGTTAAAATTGGAAATTATATGGGAAAAAAAATAATTCTTTTTCTTTTCCAGTTGCTGACTCCTGTCCCAGCTTCTGCAGATCCATAGTCATGAAGCTAATCATTTGAACCCCTTTACAGGGAAGCCAAAACCCCACAGCTACCTGTACCCTTCAGCAATGGTGTACTGGAGGCTTGTCACCTTGAAGGAGCACCTAGGCAGCTGTTTGGGCTCCTGTCACTTTGGTCCAGCCATCCCATCACCCTGGGACCTGGCACACACCAGTGCTAATTAAACGACAGAACTATAAGCTTTATGTTTAGCTTATTCTGTAATCTTTTATTCTAGTGTTTCATTACAGATCAAAACAAGAAAACCCATGCAATTAAAAGACAACAGGTTGCTGAAGACGAGAAAATGCTGCATTATTTAGCCACTGACTATTTTAATGCCAGTGAAACTCAGAGTAAACTCTCTGCTGAAAACATCCCCAAGTTCCCAACACACCCGCTACAAGGATCAGCTCTGGGAACAGGATCCAGCTCACCAACACTACCTCAAGTGGATTAATTCAATATCAGACTCCAAAACTTCAGAAAGGAACCAAATTAACCCCAAAAAGTAAACATATATTCTTAAACCCTATGGAGGGAACAGACCTACAGAGTGTCAATTACATATCTTTATAATTGCCCAATTATTGGACCCTGACACAGATGTTTCTCAGTCTCTTACATGCAAGAGCTGTGGCTTTAAGTGAGCTCCACTGTGCTGATTTTGGCATTTCTATCCCTTTGGATTCTACCGCAGTTTTATGTTCACCAAGCACTGAAGTTGGGAAAACATAGGCACTCCCTTACATATGAAGCTTTGTTAAGTTGGGATCATGCTCTCTGTTGGCAGGCAGAGGAATAGAGAGACAGAGGAGAATGAAACTGGGAAGGGAAAAAAAAAAAAAAAACCAACACCAAAACAAAACACAAATAACTTTCACTCTTCAGAGCAGGCACGCCTTCTTACTCTGGCTCCCGCTGCTGATCATTCATCCCGCTCCTCGCAGCTCCCAGCCAGTAAAGAGTCAACATCTCCTTCCTATGAAAACATGAGCTACCCCACTCCTGAGCCATATACCAGAAAACACACCGAGAGGGACTCAGGAGGATCCTGTTTCTTAGGATGGAATTGTATTTCCACAGTAAAACTGAAATATCTTTGATTACAACAGAAGCAAGGTCAACGGTGCTTTGAAGCGTCTTATTTAGCATGGCATGTGTATTCCCTAACTTCGCTACAGTCTGGACCTTAACTCCTTCGTTCACAACTACAGATACATTCAAAGACTCTCCACAGGAAAGTGCACAGACTCATCCGATTAACACCATGTGCACGTGTGCGTGTAAGAGGGATGTACTGTGCTGCGTGGTAGGTACACACATCCGAGGGGTGTTTGCCCAAGAACTATGTGGCCCGGGGAGGGAGGTAAGTACTCACGAGCTGAGAGCCACACCGCCGGACCTGCACTAACGAAGCACAGCCCAGCTCTGAAAACGCTTCTGAGCTTTTGCGGAACACAGATCAATGGGTCAGACTTCTAGTTTCCCAACAGTTTTCCCTGACAAATGCCAGCACAGATATCAGTGAAGTCAAACAGGACAGCAGTAATATCGCTGCCAACCAGCGTGAAAATTGGCAGAGCCTGGCACCGAGGACTGCCTATCATCAGAGACAGGGCATGGCCCGGCACAATGACGAACCCACTTAACAGCGCTGTAAAATTAGCCATTTATGAAAACAAATTGAATACTGCAGCAGAGGGTGACGTAAGGAGAGTTGGCTCCAGACAGAAACAGAAACTCCTGTAGCCTGGATTAGCAGAAGAGCTCCGTTATATCAAGGCTCAGGCATAGAAACTGATAACAACTTGGGTTCTACATGAGATTTTTAACCAACACAACAGGCTTTCCCTATAGGCACACACGTAGCTCCTATATGACTCACCGTGACTGCTTATATACCAGCCAGGAGGAATGAAAGGGGAGCAGTCAATACAGGCAGAGGGGCAGAAAGTAGGTAAAGATACAAGGAAGACTCCAAAAAAGAGGGGTCTTCCAGTCAGTCCTGCCCCCTCCCTCAGATCTGTACCATCACACAATTTCCCACTTTGCAACTGGGGTGAAAGTTGGGGAGAAACTCACTTGTGGCACTGTCAGCAAATATGACCCCGTCCCTGCCCCCCCTCCCCAAACACCAAGAAGGGCTCTAGATTTCAGTGGAGTCCTACAGATGCAACTTCAATGGCAGAACAGAGTTCCCAAGTCTGTCACATCCCAAAACAGTGAAAATGAGAAAGCCAAGAGTTTTGGCAGCCAGAACCCTTGATTTCCTCATTGAGGGAAGCGTAATCTCTCCCTAAGCTTGCTGCAGGTCTGGGAGGCTGTGGTGTGCGGAGGATACTCTGAGTGAGTTCCTCTTGGACCTCTTCCAGGTGTTTACACACAGAGCCAAACCTGGCTCCTCTTCAAGAGTGTGTATGAGGGGTGGAGGGGGATCTCAAAAATAAAATAAAAATCACAAAGTCCTCCTAAGCTGAGCTGCAAGCTCTACAGTGCTAAACTGGGGCATTTCTTTTCATTTTTCACAGTGGAATGTTATTTCCACGCATAAAATGGGTCAAGTGTTTTATACAGGCAACAACCCAACCTCCCCCATCCAATTAAAGTGTTTTACTACAAATGATCTTTGTGTGTGTTTGTCTAGGTTCCCTATTGTATGAATTAGAGATACCTGCACCAACCACAGACGCGGGGTCTTAGGTGTTGGATTAAATACATTTAAAAAAATACACTGACCATGTTTTGCCACTAGTGAGATCTGTGTAAACCCAAATCCTGCTTATCCTAACTAGAAAGGGAAGCACTTTGAACCCTGGGGTTTAAGTTAAGATCGGGAACTAGAAGAGTAGACTATGAGAACACCAAGGGAAATAAAGCACATCATAACCTATGTCACCTATGAAAGCACACATCTGCCCGTCCTACTAAAGGCAGAAGGGACCAGCCCATGCCCAGCACCTCCTGCCCACCCCAGCAGCCGTACACACCCCACATCCCCCTCCTCACGAGTAAGCAGAGCAGCTGGGACTGGGAAAAGTTAAGAACATGCACTGCCAAGTTCATCTGAGTTTTTGTTGTTCCTTAGGACAAAGCAACTTTCTTGCAAGAGGACAGTCCCGTGCGTCAGGAACGAGGCAGCGGCGATGGAGATACATCACAGAAGGGCGGGTGGCCGGGGTGAGGAGAGCTGGGCTAGCGAGGAGCAGCCGCTACCACCGGCACAAGCATCCGCTGCCTCCTGGTAGGAAGTGACTCCAGTTAAAGGGAAAGGGGAATTCCTCCCTGTCTCTTTAAGGCATCCTAGGACATGGAAACTTTGTACTTTCAGGGAATCTCCTTGCCAAAAGAACTGTAAAACACGTCTTCCTCCCCCCCCACCCCATACCCGTTTCTCTTTCTGACTTGTTTTCTGTTTTGTTTTGTTTTTAAAGGCATTTCCATTTTCTATGACTTCCTTCAGAGCAAAGATGGATGTGGCGACGTTTATAAAGGTTTGTAGCCCTCTGAAAAGTATCCGATTTCACGACAACTTCGCTGTACTTTATCACTAAAGTGGGGAGAGGGCGGGAGGTGGTGGGAGGGAGGGGGAGAGGGAGCAAACACAGGGAAAAGAACCCAAATTCATAATGGGTTCATAAAATTTAAATAAGAAAAGTGCAATACTCCTTGTTATTGTTCAGCTCAGACAGCTCAGACTGGTAGCTGCTTTGAGTACTAAATGATTTTATAGGGCTATTTGACCTTACAATCATTTGTGTTACACTTGCCATTGCGAAGAGGAGACAAAAATACTCACCACATCCTCTAGCTGCAGTGCTAGTCCCAGCCCTAGCTGAGAGGCAAGGGGTTGGGAACTTTATAAACTCATTTGATTCATTTGAGGTTTCACAATAGCCAAAAAGTTCCTTTATAGCCTTTTGGAAACCACATGCTAACGTTGCATCTAAAAAGGTAACAGTGAAGTGCACTGAAGAGCTAATAAAACTAAGGAAATCATACAGGGACCTTACATATGCATTTCTTTGCAGCCACACACTAGACATATACATTTCTTTTCATGCATACTTAGAAGCTACTTTCAAATGCTCTATTTACAGTTTTCCAACCTGAAAATTAGGTAAAAACTCACCGTAAGAGCTCTCTCTCCTATCTGCACCCTGATCCGTACAGACAGAAATAAAGAACTTACCCAGGACACTGCTATTTCCCTATGCAAAACTTTACATAACTTTTTTTTTCCTGCAAGCATACACTTTCAGTCAGTTTACCCAGCTCCAGCATTTCACCAAATATCTATCTAGATAATAAACGCACCCGAGCGTGTTTCCACATGCGCTCACATACATCCGGACGTTGCAAGGCACACGCGCCCGTTGATATACACACACACACACACATACACACACACACTCACACACATACACTATCCCCACGCACGCCTACAGCTGGCTGTTCTGCTGGCTTCCGAAACGTTAAAGGGATGCTGCAGCCAGAGGCAGGACGAGCTACCTACCTGCGATGACAGCCGGAGATCTCTGTCCTCCTTCAGCTTTCAGCCACACTTGTAAAGTGAAGGCGTCGCGGGGCAGCTCAATATCTGCCTTGAGCCTCAGCTGATCACCTTGGCCACTGAAATAGAGCGCCCTGCTCGGGGTAAGGGACTCCTCGGCGTCCTTCACCTCCCGCTGGTGCCTCCTGCGGGGGCCATGCCCCGGCTCCAGCCCCGCAGTGGAACGCCTTCCCCGGGCTAACCTGGTGGCACAGGTGCCCGGGGCGGTGGAGCGGGGCTGGCGGCTCTGCCTGGTGTCCCTTCGCGCCCTGCGCGAGCGCTCGTCCATCCCACATTCGGGTCCACTGGCTTGGGCTGTACAGAGCAGCGCAAGAGGCAGCAGCAAACTCCAGAGCTGCATTTCCAATCTTCCCCCCCCTTCTCCCCTGCAAATCCTCCCGATCTGCCAGCTTTGGGCTCCTCCTTGCCTTGACTTTCTTCTCTTGTTCACCCTTCTTGGTATTTGCTCTTTTTATAACCCTTCTCAGTTGCTTTTTCTTTTCTTTTTTTCTTTTTTTCTTTCTTT